CATTAGTGTGGAAAGGCAGCCTGTATTCTTAGCTGGGAAGTCAAATGAGACTAGATGATCCAAACTACAATTTTCTCTTGTGTTCCATAAGCTAAAGGAATAGAAATGATTGAGCAAAACCATATCCAAGGAACTAGCCCATATCCAACTCTACTAGCCCTTTGTGGCTATGGGAAAGCCATAGCCTTTTTGCCCAAATAATCTGCAAAGATAAAGATAAAGAAAGTATGTCTTAACCACACCAGCCCTGTGTGCCACCAGAGAAGGAGAATTTTTCTTAGCTCACCCCTTCTTTTCTCAGCTTTCAATCCCTTTCCATTGTTGTATGATAACTGGCTGGACTTCTCCTTGTTTAACCAAAAAAATCCAAGAATAACTTCTCAGAATAACTGTTAGGTGGGAATTTTTCCTTTATTAAGCATTCAGTTTTCACCCATTGGAAAATATCAATTCATCATCACAAATGTAATCGGAAAGGGTTTTAGGTCTGGGATGGGAGGGAACTGAGAGAAACTGAGAGTCCAGGAATTAAGACTCCTGGACTCAGAGAAAGGGAGGACTTGACCTCTGGTGTCCCACAGCCCGGATGAGTACATTAACCACTAAGCTATTCCAAGGCAGGAGGTGAGTCTGTCTCGTCTCAGAAAAGTGTCTAAGGGGATAGATTTTGTTCCAACATAGCACAAAAACAAATTGCAAGTGTTTCACCCCCCCCCCCCCCCCCCCCTTCTTTAAATTGAATTCTTGTTCTCCAGCCAGCCCAACTTGGTATTAGTTTTGTGTGAGTTAAACAGACCAGACACGTTTCTTCCTGTTGGTATTTGATAGATATTCAGTAAAAGGGAAAAAAGAAAGAAAGAAAGAAAGAAAGAAAAAAAGCTCAAGCTGTGTTAAGATATGTCTCAAGCTGAAGTCAAGACCAGCCCTAGCCAGAGAGGGAAGGTGGAGCTCCAGGCCATGGCCGCACCACCATGGACAGCGCCCTGGGGCTGGAGCCGGGCCACGCTCGGCCGGCCGCGGCACCGCGGGCGCTGCGGGGCAGGGCAGCCCCGGCATCCACCGCCGCCTCCTCGCCCTCAAATCTGAAAATTACTCCTTTCGCTGTCTGCTGGATTCTAGGAACCAGACAGAAGATTTGGCAAAGCTCTCCTCAGCTCCACGCAGCTTTTTGTGTTTTTGCTTTACCCCCTCCCGGCCCCGCCCGCCCTTTCTCGAGTGCATTAAATTAAATGCATATTGTCTAAATAAGCGGCGCGTTGTGTCAATGGCTGAGCTGGGGAACTCCGGCCGCCCCTCGGGTGCTAGAGGCGGCTCTGCTCAGCCACTCTATCACTGCTTAATAAAGATTAGTGTGCTCGCATGGAGCACCACAGAACGTCTGGGGCTTGCTGATGGTGAGGGGAAAAGCGGGTTTCTCTTTCTCCCAGAGCAATCCTTTCACTCCATGCTGAGATGACACCATGTCAGACGTGGAAGAGGGAGTTTCTCATTCCCGACTCCCACCGGGCAGTCGGAGGAGAGAAGAGGACCCGTCATGAGAGCTGGGCGCTGCAGAGCGCAGCAGGGCTGGGTCCTGGGCAAGAATGAGTGTGTGCTAGAAAGTCTGCCTCAACCTGCGAGCAGTCGTGCCTGCTACCAATTCCACCGCAGCCTTGTCCTCAAGCCCACCCTGGGAGCCTTGGAAAAATATTCTGGGGCTTCGCACCCCGCCTGCCGAGAGCCGCGCTCGCTGGTTTTAACCTCGCTGGGTCAGAGAGGCTGAGCAAGTCAGGGGATTTCTGGTGCTCGCAGGACGAGTCCAGCAATCACTGGTGCCGCTCCCTTCCCTTCCCCGCCAGACTCTCCAGCCGTCAGCACGCCTGTGTTTTTTTTTTTTTTTTTTTTTTGCTGAACACCATTTTTTCCACCCTGGGAAGACTGGGGAGGTTAAACTCTCCGTCTGAACCGAAGCCCTGGACGGGTGCAACTGAGGTTATAGAAATCCGGGAGGGGAAATGACGAAAATGCTTTATTGTGAATAAAACAAGAGGGAGGAGGGAGAGGCGGAACTTCGCGGAGGTGAAGGATGGGAAGTTCGCGGAGCTGAGGATTTAGCCGGTCTCCGAGCGCCGGGCGGGGGTTTAGTCATTATTTCCCTCTGCCTCCCTGAGGCTGCAAGAGCATCTCTCCCCTGAGATCTGAACCTGTCCCACTTGCTGGCTTTTGTTTCGCTCCTAGAGCGGCTTCTGGGGGGAGCCAGGTCACACACCCGCCCGCAGCCCCTGGCCCTATTCCCTGCTCGGGAAAACCTGGGACAGGGACTTATCTTTCTAGCCAACCTCCCAGGTCAACTTCCTCGTAGAAAAGCTGATTTATGCCTGTTTATACTTATGGAAAAAGGAGGCAGAAGCCAAGCGCGGCATTCCTCCAAAATCTCATTGTGTTTGAGGCGGGAAGACGGGAGATAGTGGAGTCAGAAAACCTAAAATGATAAAGTTTGCCTTGTCGCGGCAGAGAGGGCTTGGCCAGGAGGGCAAACACGGGGTCTTGCCTCACCTGTCCACGGCTGAAGCCTTTCCCGGGTCAGACAAAACCACCGGTTCTCCCCGCGCATCCCGGCTGGAGAAACAAGAGGCAGCCGCAAGCGGCTCGCCTTGGCCGGGAGCCCTGCCGCCACCGGGCCCGGCAGGTGAAAGCCCCCAGAGGTGTGGGGTTTTCCCTCTCCAGACACCGGGCCGTGGGCTCTCCGTGAGCGGAGCCGTGCTCGGCACAGGTGTGGGGGTTGGAATAGCTCCCAAAGTTCCGCCGGTCCATCCTCTAGTCCAGCCTCATCCCTTCCTACCCCTCCGAGGGCAGGAGACACCGGAGCCGGCCGGGCCGGACGGGGAGAGGCTGCAGGTGGCGGCGGGTCCCTCCCGGGAGAGCATCTCCCGCGGCATCCTGCGGGGAAGGGAAGGTTTAAACCCCAGGTGAGGGGTCTTTTCTCCCCATCCTGCCGCGGAGGAGGGCTCAGGCTTGCGGTGAGGCTTAGGACCAGGAGTTTGCTCATTCGTGTACGTGGCAGGTGACAAGGCGCTGCGCCTGCGACAGATGGCAGCCCTCGGGGAGGAGGGAGGCGGGGGGGGGCATGGGGTGATAGTGAGCCTCCTAAAAGCCTTTGGCATTGCTCAGGTCCTGCCGTATTAGCACAGACACAGTTGGGTGTTTTTTTTTTTTTTTTTTCAAGCCCACTGAGGCAGAGAAGAGGCAAACTCAGCCATAGGAAGGTGGTTAGTGATGTCACAAGTTTGGTCTTTTCAATAAAAGCAATGGAGAAGGGTCTCCCTCACTATATATATTAGGGGAAACTTCTGTTCTTCATAATAAAAAGAGCAGCAAGGGAGAAAAGCACCTGCTTTTAACACCCTTTATTTAGCCCTAATCTGTTGCAGGCAGAATCAAAGCTTTTTAGGCTGGATTTTTGAAAAGTATTGCCTTTAATTTTTTATTATTATTCATTTACTTCTTTTTTCTTTCTTTTTTTTTTTTTTTTTAATTTTTACTCCTTCTTAAGCATAGAATATAGTTTTGGAAGCGATTGCTGAGAAGAGCAACCACTGTTGGCCAGAGTGATCTCTGAGAGGCACAGACAGCTGTAACTCAAGGAAAAGGTGAAGTGTTAAATTGAGAAGAAACTTCAGGATTCTGAGTTTATAGAGGCAATTTATTTTTCCTGAATCTGTAAAAGATGATGTGTGTTGGTTTTTGGTGTATTTTTTTTTTTCAATCATTTCTGGGGAAAGGAAATTCTAAAAATATTTGGTGGAAGTTTTACTTTTAACATGAGCAATAGACCTTATGAGTTTGTGGGGGTTATTTTCTGGGGATGTCACAATTATTTTTAATTAGTCGAAAGGGCAGTGTAAATCAAAAACGCCTATTAGCTATACGTTTTAATTTATAGCCTACCAGGTGTTCAGGGAATTTATTTACAGCATAAACGATTTAATGTTTTCAGCATGATTTCTATTTCAGCTCTTATGCTGTCGGTTTTATTTGCCTGTGTGGTGCGGAATCTGGGCTTTTAAATCGTGTCAGCAAGCGTCGTTTAACTTCAAATAACCTGCAGGTAGAAAAACGCTTTGCTTTGCACCTAAACTTTCTCGGCGGGCCTGCTTTAATTCGGGGGCAGGATGAGAAGAAGCAATCAGCCGGCACGCCTCAGTGTTTTGTTGCGGCTGGCGAGGGTGTTGGGAAAGCATTCCCTGTAAATCAGGCTGTCAGCGGCACAGACAGCGACCCCGCTGCCCCCGCCGCGCTCTCTGGAGAGGCTCGGCAGAGCCCCGCCGAGGGGCGAGGGCTCCCGGGATGCTGCGGGCACGGAGCTGCATCCCCAGGTGTGCTGGCACGAACGTGAGGAGATGGGCGTGCAGATGGGCATTCCCTCCCGGAGAGCCGCCGGGGAGCGCTGCCCCCCGGCTCTGTGCCCGTGTCCCCTTGGGGCAGCCGGGGCAGCTCCTGGCACCAACAGGCTGGAGAGGCGGGCGGGCTGCGTCCCCTTCGGCTTTACACGAGTGTTGTCCCGGGATGGAAAAGTTTGGTGCCTCCGTCGCGGGGTGCGGGGCTGTCGTCCGGCGGTGCCCGGCGGGGTTCGGGGGTGGCCAGGGCAGACCGGGGCTGAGCGGGGCAGACCGGGGCTGAGCGGGGCTGCCCTCCCGCCGCTCCGGCCACCGCTGTCCCCGCAGCCCCGCGTCCCTGCCCGCCTCGCACGGGAGCGCAACCTGACGCAGCGGTTTGCAGCGCCCTGGCCAGGCTGAAGGAGGGCGAAGTGGAAGGCGAAAAAGGGAGAGGAGGAGAAAACTTTCCACTAGTTTACTTTTTTGGCCAGGAGCGCCTGTGTTCATAGACCGCGAGTCCTTCCCCCAGCCCTCCCCCTGAGCTCCCCCCTCCCTTCACTAGCATACAATTAGCATCATTAGGAACCGACCCTCCGGCTAATAGGGGAACGTCGACCAGCGACGGTAGGTGCGTGCAAGGAAAGGCGGCGGCAGTCCCGGGCAGCGCTTTGGGGCTTGAGCTAAAAAGTGCTCCCAGCGATGGGAGGAACCCCCGCGGCAGGGGAGACGCTGACCCGGGGGTAAACACAGAAAGGGGGAGCTGGAAGGTGAGCGAGAGAGGAGTGCGGCTGCAGAGGATGCGAGAGTTCGGTCGGAGTCCTTGGGGTGCGCTGAGTGCGTGTGCTGCCCGGTGTTTCCCTTTCTTCTCTCCTTTTTGATTGCGGGCCCGGGAAGCGCTGATTCCCAGTCTCCGTTTTGGCTGTGGGTATCCCGCCCGGGCTCTCGCTCTCTCCGCACATGTTCCTAGGGCGCCATCTCTTTGCAAAACCCTCCGTGCTCCCGCAGGTCTCCCAGAGGCTGCTCCGGAGCGTGTGAACAACGCAGGCTGCAGCCCAGTCCAACCTGCCGAGCCAAGCGTGCTTCCTGAGCCTCCCGGGGCTACCGCTCCTCCCAGACCTCTCGGGCTCTCCAGATAGGCAGCGACCTTTGCTTGTCTCTCCTTGTCACCGCTTGTCTCTCTCCTTGTCACTGTTGGGGACCAAAACTTTCTGGCAGCAGTGGACGTGAACCTGACCCTTTTTTTTTGCAGAGGTATACCGAAAGACAGATGCGGAGATGCATTCCCCCTCCGCCTCAGCCTGTGTGTGTGTGTGTTTGTGTGTCCGCGCGTGTTTACAGAGAAGCGAGCAGCTGAGCTGACTTTTTGGGAATCTTTCCTTATCTGCAAAGAGGGCTCCTGCTGTAACATAAAGCCCTGAGAAAGTGGCTTAGCGGACTAGAACTAAACAGGGCTGAGGGAACTCACTGAACCCCGCTCTAACCCCGTTCAAATGAGAGCTAGATGCTTTTTGAACTAATACCGAGAGAGATCTTGCCTGCGGGCAGCGAGAGACAGAGAGAGGGAGGGAGGGAGGGAAAGAGGGAGGGAGGGAGAGGCAGACAGCAAGGACGGGAGAGAGACAGAGCGAAGTTTGGAAGGAGTAAGCCGAGAGCTCAGAAAGTTTGTTTTTCCTTCAGAGCCTCGGAGCTGGTAGAGCCGAAGCTAGGACTCCTTGAGGACGGCGCTGGCGCATCTGTCCCTCGGGACTGACCTCTCTTTCCTTGCAGGTTTTAAGCCCCGGAGGATACAATGTTCGCTAAACTCTTCCAGCAGTGGAGTTTCGCTGTGTTCCTGCTGAGTTATTCCGTGCCCTCCTACGGGAGATCAGTAGAGGGGATCAGCCGCAGACTGTGAGTTTCTCTTTTTCTTTCTTTTATTTTTTTCTTCTTTGCCTTTATTCGCCCTCGCTGCGGCCGCGGGGCGGGTGGGGAGCAGGGAGGGAGGGAGGGAGGGAGGCAGGCAGCCCGGGAGGCTCCGCAGCGCTGCCGGCTCTGCGCGGGGCCGGCCCGGGTTACCTGCCCCAGGTGCTCACCTGAGAGCACATTCGGGGCAGAGAAAGGGCGCTTTGCAGCTGCCTGACCTTGCAAAGCTTTGGGGGAGGCGACGTGAAAGCTGAGGGGCTTCTCTTCCGACTCACCTGGGTGATTGTTGCGCAGTTGCCCGGGACCCTCGCAGGGAGCATCCCGGTTTATCCAAACGCTGTGTGTTGCCCTAACTTACAGACGCTTCCTCGGTTCTGGCGTGGAGCCAATATTGATAGGAGTAGGGGAAACATGCAGAAGTGAGGGCTATCATGACACTGAAGTACTGAACAATTTCTTTGGATTTCTGCCACTTCAGGGGGAAAAAAATCCAAAGGGAGTCCAGTATCTTACTTATAGGCAGAGGAATATTTTTTGATAAATGATAGTGTAACTTAAGACAGTCTGTTCAGGAAATGACCTTTTTGCTTCTTCCAAAATAATCAGCCTGGTTTATAGTAATACCCATACACAAAGTGCAGGAGAAGCCTCGGCGCTGATGCAGGAGCAGCTGTCTCACACATCTAACTCGCTGGCTTGCATCAGATTTTCTAAGGAAGAAACACCTCAGTCACACTGGGGAGGGCTGTATTGTTATTCAGTTCCAAAGGAAGCCAAGTTGGAGAAAGAGTGCTGGAAAATCCGATCACAACTTACAGGGAAACATGACACAGCAAACAATTTCAGATGGGTTTCCTTGTAAATGTTTTATTACATACATAAGGACAAGATCTCCAAATAGCATTTCCTCTGCCAGTTAAGCAACACACATAATAATAATTTAAAAAAACCCCAAACACACAAAAGAAAAAAAAATACCCCAGGTGAAGCGACTTCAGACACACCTAAATTTTGGCACCAGGCAGAGAGCTATTACAAATCTCCTACAGCAAATTGTGTAGAACATGTTATTGCTGATAATGTTACAGTGTATTATTCTCAGTCCATTAACCTTTAACTGCTTTGTACTCCTGAAAGCTGTTCTTGGGCTATTTCCTTCTTTTGGGACTATATTATATAGAGAAATTAAACTTAAGTTTCAAAAATAAATAAAAAAAAGAAAATAATTGAAGTGCAGTTAGATGCTGTTATTTTTTTGGCTAGGAAACTCTGAACTGGATCTAAGCCAAAATTGGTTGTTAAAAAAAAAATAGATTTGAAGAGAAATACTCTTTCTCTTTTTGAAGTTAGTGTAGTTCTAACACTTGTTTTTAAAGGTCAGGATTAGAGGTCTTCCCAACTTCCCCATTCTGTCCTGACAGGGGGGAAGCTACTAAGCTAACCAGTGAAAAAGCATTTCTCAGCTCCCTCTTTGCTCTGGCATGTAAAACACACACAAGAAACCAGTCAGCTGTCAGTTAGTGGCATTCATGTAGTTTTGTTTGTGGGCACAGCACAAACACAGACACCACACTCAAACATGTGTCCTGTTTTAATATCACCACAAACTATTCCTAGAGTTAATGGCTAATAACTCATTTAGGCTTTGAGATTTTTTTTTTCTTAGTCAAAAACTTAAGCCAGTAGTGGATGAAAATACTGAAGCACATTATTATAGACATGCAAAAACAATCAAAATTACATAGGCCTGGTTCTACAGACTTTGCTGAAGCAAATATCTCATGGAAAGCAATAGCAAATTGTCCCAAGAAAAGTTTTCCAGACATGTTATTTGTTATAGGAGTGCTTTAGCTGCTAAAGAACTTCTGAGAAACCAGTAATGCCTCAAAATGAAATTGCATATTTTTATCATCATGTCCAGACATCGCAGCATCATGTCCCTAGATCTGTTCAAAATATTTTTCTGAAGCCTGAGATAGGTTGAGCAGATTTCCCTCCCTTTGGAGTCAGTGGCAAGGGCACTCAGTCTTGCAAAATACAGAGAGCTGACTGAATCCTCCTCAGTTATTTTGCTGAATTTGGGATCAGACCCAACATGAACAGTCAAGGATAATAACAGCTAAATAAGAGCAGCTCTCTGAGATAGAAAGCTGTAGCTTGAAGAATGTTGCCTTTTAGAAATGCTAGATATCTCAAGGAAAAAAAAAAAAAAAAAAAAAAAAAAAAAAAAAAAAAAAAAAGGAGGAATGTGCCTGAAAAAAACAGCTTATCTGGAAGTACATGAAATCAGGATAGCCACAAGTCATGGATTTCTGCTGCTCTCCCCATGATGAGACACTCAGCCTCATATGTATACAGTGTACTTGGATCCAGTAATCAGTTTGGATGCTCTGGTCAAGTACAAACCATCAACATCCCTCTCTCAAAAGTGTCTGCCACATGTAAGCTTAGCATATACTGCTCTTGGTTTGGGTACAGGATTCTTTTCCTTGGAAGAGAGGTGTATTTTATAGAAGGATGGAAGGGACCTCTAGTGGGTCATCTTAACCCTAACAGCCTAATGTTTTTTTCCATATTGTGGCCAATATGTGAATGCAATCACTGCAGTCTCCATTGCCTTCCTCCTCTGAGTGTGTGGGTGAGATATTGTTGATATCTCCATTATGAAGCACTTCTTACATCAGTCCTCTTGGGCAAGCCTTTCTCTGTGACTTACAAACATAGGAGTTATTTGAATAACTGAGGCAGAAGGTCAAAGAGATACGTATCTACCACATCTTTGTTTCAAGGAGGTTTTTTGGTCTAGAGTATACAAAGGAAGCTGGTAGGCAAAATGTAATCCTTAAGTCTGGCTGAGTAATAAAAGTCATGTGAAATGTAACACTACATAATGTTATACAATCATCTGGAATAGCAGAATGTTATTTGGGGCCAGACTTGATGCTAAATATCATACAGACATTTAAAGAGAAACCTACCCTCTTTGGCACACCAATCCCTCACACGTCAATCCCTGCATTATTTTGGAAATGCATACTCACTCAAGATGTAGATCTTGTAATGCTCTCTGACTGCCTTGTGTGTACTGGAACCAAATGTTTAGGTTTCAGCTCTGTAAAATGGAATAGGTTTTCAATCAAGAGGACTTTAATAACAGGCTTTGGAGAGTCAAGATTTTGTCACAGTGGGGAAGTTGACCAAATACACATTAGAGGATTAAGGCAGCTTTGGGTTGTCTGTGATAGAAGGAATTATCCTTGGTAGTTCACAAGAGGCAGTAGGAAAGCTTTGCTCATCACATGAGACACTGGTTTACACTCCCTAAAGCAGAGAGATTCATACACTTTCTATGAACTAGAAGAGTGAAAGCAGAACTGCATTTGCCATGCAGATTTCCTGAGAAAATAGACTAGTGAAGCTCGGAATGTAACCTGGGTCACACTGGACAGCCTGACAGGCAGCACAGAGGCAGTGACACAGAGGAGCCCAGGGTGCTGGTTTTATTGGCCTACTTGCCAGTCAGACTGACCCTAATGAGAAGGGTGTTGGAGATGGCTCTTGTTCAAAAAACTTCTTCTGAGGCAGATCATGAGCTTGTGTTAATGGTCACAGCTGCACTGAAGAGAAAGACACGATGTGGGATCAGCTTAGCATTATTGTCACATTGCATTTTTGCTTAGGGACATTTAGAAGAGGGGCATAAAATATTTGTCCTAAAGGCTGAAGTCATTCAAAACTGATTTTGGGACACTTAAAACACAGACAATATTTGATTACATATGTACTCACAAACCTCTGTATATGCAGAGCTGATTTTGAGCAAGATTTTGACAGTCATCTTCCAGTCTCACTGTGGAATGGGGGAAAGGTGCTGTTTGAATTTTGCACTGAGCAACAGAGATGTAGTATCAGTTCAATCCATCCTTTGAACCCAGTACTCAAAAAGTGCAGCCCTACAAATACAAAAATTGAAGGGGATTCCCTTAAAACAGAGTTACTTTAAACTGCCAACTTCCAATAGCTCTGTTATTGATCAAGTCATAAACCTGAAGAGTTTGGCTGAGGGGACTGAGAAAGAGTACCTGCAGAACACTCCCAAATATTTTGCATTTTCAAATCTGGTAACATAGCAGGATGGGATGGAAGGAAGAAATATTCATTCCCAATGATGTGTCTTCTTCCAGTTCACCCACATACAAAAACCACTTCTTACCCAGCTAATTGACCAAATGATTATAGGACAAGCAAAGCAGTGAATGGAATTTCTTTGGCCAGTGAGAATCCAGTAGCATGCCCTACCCTGATGCAAGAGGAGAGATTCCATAGCCAAACTCTGCATGCTGGAGTAGAGCAATTGGAAGGATAAACTGTATTATTGCATTCATGGGAACACAGCTAAAATCCAAGCTTGTGCTCTGTCTGTGGTTCACAGCACAGCTGTGCATCTATTCCACTTCAAGAAAAAGGCATGTATTTTCTTACATTTTCTCTGGTTATTTATTATCCAGGTGTCATTTGTATCTTCTTTCCTCAGATGTTTAATACATTCCTTGCCAGTACAACATCTCTAAAAGACAGATAGCTACTCAACTCCCCGTTCCTTGAAAACAAGACAGAGCTCAGCATACCAAAAGGTCAGGATGAACTCTGGAAAAACCACTCTAACAAACCAGGATGCTCCTGAAGAAGATCCAGTGAAGAGGGTTAGCATAAAATTCAAACAGCACAGCACACAAGAAATTTGGCCCCAAAGGTTCACACTTCAAGCAATACTAGGAGGGCATCTAAAATCATAATTAGACACAAGTGACCAAGCAGTAAATCCACAGGAGTAGCTGAGGCTCATCTCTGCTGATGCTCAGGCTGCTTCCTTGGATAGCTCATTATGGACTGAAGTGCCTGTGCTTTAGGCACCCAAATTCAAACCTTTTTCCCTTATACTCCTGTATTTCACTTCTTTAAATGTAGGAGTAAAATGCACTTTTATGTGCTTGTTTATGTTTTTGAAATACATGACTAAGCAGAAGAAAATCACTAGAATGATGCTGTATAAACACTGCTTCCGACTCCAGTACAAGTGCTGGGTTTTCCCTCTCTTCCTGCATTATCTGACCCTTTAGTTTTCCTATCTCTGACAACTGCCTTCCTGCTTTTACTGCCTCAAGTGTGATATATTAAGAGTCATGATGCTTTCCTAGAACAGAGCTGTGACTAATCCAGCTCCAGTGGTGTGTGATCAGTCAGCTGAGAATTATTACCCACTTGGGTCTTTCACTTCTCTGCTGAGAGCAGCTACTCTGAGGATGAAGCAGGACTTGCTCCAGTAGTCTGGCTTCACTGGATGTCTCCAAGCCTGGTACATGATCATTGTGGCCACCACAGCCAGAGAAGAGAGGAGCTCTGCCAAACACTGGGCAATAACCAAATCCTAAATATTTTTTCCCTCTCCTCTCTTTTCTTCTTTTAGCAAACGAGCTGTATCAGAGCACCAGCTATTGCATGACAAGGGCAAGTCAATCCAAGACTTGCGAAGAAGAATATTCCTTCAAAATTTAATCGAAGGTGTCAACACTGCAGAGATCCGCGCAACGTCAGAGGTGTCACCTAACCCTAAACCTGCCACCAACACCAAGAACTACCCTGTCAGGTTTGGCAGCGAAGATGAGAGCAGATACCTAACTCAGGAGACAAACAAATCACAGACCTACAAGGAGCAGCCCCTGAAGGTGTCAGGGAAGAAAAAGAAAGCAAAGCCTGGAAAACGTAAGGAACAAGAGAAGAAAAAGAGGCGAACCCGCTCAGCTTGGCTAAATTCTGGCTTGTACGGAGACGTCGTGACTGAGAGCCCACTCTTGGACATCTCTGTTACTACACATAATCAAACTTTGAGGTAATTCTGTATATTCTTTTGGGGACCATGCAATTTATTTAACTGAAGTTGTTATCCCTTGGTGTGAGAGGCTGAGGCCAAGGCCTCGCTCAAACTGGGAGTAAAAGCAGATCTTTGTGCTCATGACTTGGCAGTGGCTTTTCAAGCCACTTTTCAAGCACAGTCTCAAGGTGCTCTCAGCAGGTAAGTGCCTCTTCCACTTTGCACTGGGGACAGAGCCTTTCTTTCCCATGAGACACAACTCACATAAACAACTTATTGCCGAAATCTGCTCCCTGAAGCTGAGTAGTAAATGAAGGTAATTCTGTAAAAAGGAAGCATACCACAGTAACTAAATTTTCCCTTCCTGCTTTAACCGTAGTGTATCTCACATTGTATCTTGGTCCCACACTTGGGCCTCAGCAGATTGAAAGCTTTGACTTTTATTTAAGGCTTTGCATCTATAAAATGGCGAAGTTTTCTTTCCTTCCTCTCAACACCTCCCCTTTTTGGCTCCTTTCCTACCCTTGCTTTACAGTTTTTCGTTTCACTGTTTAACCTTAAGGGAGAACATGGAAAAATTCTCTCTCAGTAATATCTGCAAACAACACAGACCAGCCTTTCACCATAAAATTTTCCCTGCCATTAGGATTTTTTAATTCAGCTCCATCCTTTTGCCAGCTTGTGAAGCAATTACGTTGCTGCTTAAAAATGTTTAGCATTGCTCTTGGAGAGGGACATGCTTCCCTCATGCATGACAGTGAATGGCCTTTAGGGCAGTGGCCTGGAGACATCAGCCTAGATGTCCCAAGTGAATCATCCCCTTGCAGTCATCCCAGCTTGAGTGGAAATCTGCACACTTGCAGACAAAGCCAAGGATTCCACTCTTCAGTTCTCCTCAAATGTTTGCATTTCACCAGCAAAACCCCCTCCTTTTCTCTCCTCCTCCCCTTCACCTTGGCAGAAGAGAGACATCAGAGAAGTGTCACTTGCTAACAGTAAATCCCTTGGAAAGAGACACCAGCTGTGGGATTTACTAAAAATCCAGCCTGGGATTAAGCTTTACAGCCCACAGTTTGCAATGTGCTCCATCACCTCAGCTCATGCTGGCATCTACAGGAGCTACCAACACCTGGGGCTGGGCACTCAGATCATGGGCCGTGACCATAAACGAGGATATCCCAGACCAAAAACCAGGATATCCCAGACCATAAACCAGGTGGCATGGCTGTAGCAGGTAGGAGGGAAGTAAGAGACTCTGGTTTGTCTCAGCACATTAGGAAAAGCAAACTTCAGGATTCTGCTCAGGAGGTGCCTGAGGTTTCAACAGATATCAAGGTCAAGATATCAACAGATATCAACACAGTCGTGTTGGTCAGTATATGACACCTGTCTTGAGCACAAAGAAATCTAGGCTGTAGGGAGAAACATCGTAGGGAATTTCAACAGTTATTTCTTTTTCTTACTGGGCTGTCTTTGGTGTCCATCTAATGGGATATATAAAAGACAGGTACAACCTTACTGATTTTCCCAGTTCAGCCTTTCTGTTTGAAGTGTGTCTGGATGGCTGAAGGCTCTCAGCTTTACTGTGGATTTCAATATCCAAATGCAGCGTTTCTCACAGATTCTTAAAAAGAACCTATATTTTAGATAATTAATTGGAGATGATTAAATAAGGGGAATCCATTAAAAAAGGAAAAGGGAATTCCTCCTTCACAAGTACAGAGAATATGTTGGTTCAGCCCTAACAAACTTCTAGTACCTGAGCTTTTAAGTTATCTCAGTAGGCTAGCAAAAGATGTAAACTTTAAGCATGATTTTCACTGTAGCTCTATGCTTCTTTTCTGCTGAACACCCTGGATTAAATCTTCATTCCAATTCTCTCTGATCAGTCTTGAAAACAAAATTTTGGGTTTAGGGCCAAAAAAATGGACAACAATAACATAAACTCTAGATCTTTTGAATTCCTACAAGGAGTATCTCATGGAAGAAGCCAATCTTGCAAAACCTAGGTCCAAATCACAGAATGCAGCTTGCAAATTATCATTAGTAGAGAGCCCACTGTCAAGATGTGGCTTAGCTTAAACTTTAAAACCAAGCCTAAAATCCAGGCTAAATTGAAAATTTCACTCTCTTAGAAATAGGCCTGAGTAGTGCAGACATGCACACACACAGAGCCATGCTGTATGAATTATGTGCCATTGTTACACCTGTTGGAATATGTCCTGAAATGGACCCTAATATTGTTGCTACCTAATTATCAAGGAGCTTCATGCTAGCATTTCCATTCCAGGCACTTTAAAATTATTTCTCATGAACATTCCAGCTATATTCCCATTTAAATTAAATTAAGATGCTCTTACTTAATTTCTAGAAAACCTTTTAAATGTGTAAGCTCCTGAATGATAGCTGTAGCTTCCCATTCAATGTGCATGTTAAGAAAACCTTTTAAACTCTCCAGGAGCTGAGGTTTGTTGTGCCTCACACCCACACAATTTTGGCCACATGGGATGTTACCCCCAGCTCTGGTGACCAGCCCTGCAGCGGAGAGAATCCCACTCCATCCTATATCTTAGGTGCTTCCCAGGGAACCCCTAAAAAACACATGCTGTTCACAGGGACAGAAGGGAAAAAAGCCCAACCCTTCAGCATTTCCTGCAGCACCTCTGAGCAACTTTATGTGGGAGCACAAGGAATCCACTGACAGGGTGGGAGCAGGCTCTGCTCTGTTCTCATGGGGAGAGAGCTCACACCAGCCTGCAGCATCCCCTGGAAAACTCCCAGGTCTCAGGACTGGGTGCAGCTGATTGCTTCAGCAGGGCTGAACGCAACAGGAGCTGCAGGGTAACAGGATGGGATGGATGCTTTCTTTCAGGACCAAGCTCTGTGTCTCCCAGAGGGAAAGTTTCAGGATTAGAGCCTTTTCACGCAGCCAGGCACAGGAGGAGTTGCCATCAAGGTTGTGCTGGCTCCAAGCCCTGAGCAGCCTTTGCTCACACACACACCACAGCCCCCTGCCTGAGGGCTGGTCTCTCAGTGGGAAAAAGAGACCAAGTGAGCCCCATGGCACTGTATTCATCAGAACATGGCATCACACCCCAGCAGTTAACACAGCATCACCACAGCGTTAACAAGGACTCAAAATTATTTTTGCTTTTCTCCAACTGTATTTTTTTTTTCTTTTCAGCACTTGACATTTTTATCATAGGGTGATACAATTCTTCTGCCTGAGAAGATACTCAGGTATCTTCTTGCATGAGAATCTAAATAAAAAATAAAAAGCCCCTTTCCATTCCTCTGAGGGTACAATGGCCTCAGTGTGTGACAAACTGTGGGTCATGACAATTCTAGAGGAGTTGCATTGAAGAAAACATAACAGAGATCTTGAATAAATGTCTAAAACTCTGACATGGTCAAACAGGCCCTGTTATGGCAGAAGGTTACTAGCAAGGCACACCTGTTACAGTTTGTGGCACTCTTGCTATTGATTCTATGTCCACACATTTGAAGTGAAAATTAATTAATTTTTCTGTTTTTCTTGTCCTTTCTTTTCTTTGCAGGAGGCGCTGATGTTTTCAGCAAGAGATATTTGGAAGACACATTGCAGTATTCTGTAATAGTGAACATATGGGAAGTATTAAAATATTTATTACCTGTAAATATTGTAAATGCTCAGAATAAAACCTTTCCCCCCCATTGCTCTCTGAAACTGCACATTTGGTTATTGTGAATTTTCCTTTTTTTTTTTTTTTTTTTTTTTTGGCTAAGGCTAAGACAATTATTATTGTCACATTTGCCATAATTTATTTTGTTGACTGGTGTATTTATTTTGTGAACGTATCTTGGTGCTGCTGACTTTCTATATTTTTTGTAACATAATGCACTTTAGATATACATATTGAGTACATTGATAACTGACATAAAATGTTCCTGTTTTGTGGTTGACTTCAATGAATGCCTACATATAATTGTTCAAACTGATTTTCCTTTGTGCATGTATAATAGCAGTATTTTAAAATTTGTAAAAAATGTCTAATAAAATATAATCTAAATCATGACTCAAAAGGAAAATGTGTTTTTTAGGAATTTCAAGAGCAGGAACAAATTTTTTTATTTACTACATCTGAAAATTGTTTTAAATGTAATGTGTTTACATTGGTCTAAACTCCCACATTTTCACATTAGCTTTTAGTTAAAGATCACTCAGAACATATTTTTGTTCCAGTGTTCTATTTCAAGTTACTCAGTTGCAGAACAACCCTGGGGGTGAAAAAGGCTCCCAGAGCTCAGACCCCGGTGCAGGGGAAGCAGATTCCCAAGGTGCCCAGAACCCCTGCACTCTCCAAACTGGAGGCAGTGAGGAGCAGCCCCAGGGGAGGCTTGGCTTGCTCTGCCCTGGGAAGGTGCTCACAGGACCCAGGTTGCCCAAAAAAGCCCAGCTCTCTGTCCTGGGCTCCCAACACCTCTGCCCCCAGAGCCAGGTGGCCACAGCACCAGCAGAGCCTCAGCTCTTTGTGCTCCTGCATGTGTGAGGGGGCAAAACTTGTTTTCTGGGTGGACATACAGAGGCTGGAAACTGTGCCAGGGGATGTACCACCAGGTGCTCTTGCATTGCTGGAATACATTTTCCCCTCTCCCACTGCAAAGATGCCTCACACGGCTCTGTTTCCAAAGCCATCCACATTAATCCTGCTTCTGCCTCGTCCCCACAGACAAGACCAGCTAAGAGAGGCACCCCCTTCAAGACTTCATGTCCACTGGCTGAAGGAAACACGAGAAAAAAAGTCATGATCTATCACTTTTTCTTGCTTTTATCCCTTTCGTGTTCAAATCACAGCAGCGGCTGTTGGGGCAACCTGAGTAAAGGGAATTGTTTCACAGAGATATCTGAACTTTGCAAAGTCCAACTGAATTTCCTCTGTCCCACTCCTTTAACACCAGCAACATCAGAAAAATGCAAGCATGGAAAAATAAATCACAAATCCTGGGAATTTTAAGATAGTTCTTGTAATTGTTGCTCTGTTCTGTCATTGCCAAACTTTTCTTTTTTATTCTTCTTTCCTTTTTTTTTAAGTGCCATCTTTTTCCATTGCCAAAGTACAGCCATCATGTAATATAAACCAGATGTATTTCTGCTCCCTACCCAATCTTGCAGAAAATTACCTCAAAGAAAATACTAAAAGCAGGAAAACTTGAGAAAAAATCACCCATCCTTCCCAATCTACTTCTCTGGAGTGTGAAATTCAACGCTTCATTATGTCCAGTTAATTACAGCAGCCACAAAGCACGTGCATGCTGTTTCCTTTTCAGATGAAAAATATGGTACATGATGAAGCATAGCACGAAGGAAAAAAGGCAGGGTTTCTGCACATTTTTGACTTGGCCTCCTTGCACATCCTGCCTATTTATAGTATCCAGCTAATGCTTGGATTTATACAACTGAAGTTAACTGCAATATATTCAGAAGACAATTTTGTATCTCAGGATTACCAGCATATCCCAGCTGGAACTAAAACTGAAATCTCTGGTGGTCAGAGGCAATTTATCTTCTTCAGAAAGGATGAGCCTTGGCAGACAGGGGTCCAAAGAGCTTGAACCAAACCAAAAATCCAAGTGCTTAACCTTGGCTCCACAGAAGTGGCCTCCTCGTAAGAGGAAAACTGATTTTGAAGTGTCTCTGGTCTGCTCTGTATTCTTCCACTGTCCAGTGAGGACTTGTAATTTTTTCCTAGTTTCCTATAGGTAAAACCTGCAATTGTAGAGAGTTTAAGCAAAAGTTCTGTTTTTCTGAAAAACCTTTGCACAGGCCTTACAAAAGCTGTGTGTGGAGCCTGTGCTTCACAGACTCTGGTTTGAAAGTCGATGCTGCAGACTCCACCAAGCTGAGTGCAATACTTTTTTGAGCTCTCAGCTTTGCAGGAAAATAAATCCTGAAGATCCCCATTTCTGAGACAAACTAGAGCAGTTTGCCTTTCTTGCAGTGGGGGGTAAGATCTCCCAGAGATTTCAGTTTCTCAGACAGTTAAACCCTAAATGTTCAACTAGTCTCAAAGACACCTGCGGGGGTCAGGACCTGAGAATCAGAACTTATCCTGGTATTTTCTAATGTCCATGGCACCAAATCCTGGAGGAGAAAAGAAATAATGCTCAAACTTCAGTATTTCATGTTTTACTGAACGATCTCTAGGAAGGCTGCACTCTTGCATTCATGTCCTTTCGGCTCTGTTTCTCTTGCTCTCCCAATTCCCAGCTAATCCCAGACCCCACCTCCCTCACAGCAACTTTCCCCACCAGTCTCTTGTCTCAGCAAGCCCTTTCTCCACATCCTGCCTCACAGCCATTGATCTTGTGTTTCTCCAAGCCCTTTATCCCAGCTTTTCCACTGGTGGGTTGTGCTCTTCCCTCAGCATCCCCATCATCCCCCATTCCTCCTGCTCTCTGCCCACCTTCCAGCAGGAACAGAGTGGAGCAGCTTCCTCCTCACTTTGCTTCACATCACCCTATCCCAGTGGCTTTTCCCAAGCTCCTGGCTAAGCAGGAGCTGTGGGGAAAATCATCCTTTGCCTTCATCGTCTCTGAGCATGAGCCTGCTCAGATGGCAGGGTCTGCCCTCCTGGAGGGTGGTGGGATGTGCACAGAAAGTCCACTCATGCACAGGAACTGAACTATAATGAGGGTTTTGCTGATAAAGGAGATTCCATTAAATTAATGTGATTTTTCAGAGGCTTACAGCATGCCCAGATGTTCCTCAAGGTGATAAAAGAGCACTCACTATGCAGAGGATGCTCTTCCAAATTTCCACTTTTTTCTCTGTGAGCCATAGAGGTGCTAGGGCTTCTCAGGAGAAATTCCAAAAGATTTTTTACTTGGGCAATACAATTGATTTTCCTTGGTTTACATTTAAACACATAAATTTGGCTGAAATCTCCTGAAAGGCAGTTTCCAAGGTTTCACCTGGACAGGTCAAATACGAGTCAGAACTACAAAGAAATGAGTGAGGCCAGCGTGTGACACCAGGGCATGGTGGCCTCACTCAGGCGTGTCCTGAGCAGCAGTCCTGCCTCCCAGACCCAACCAGCACAGCCTGAAACTTTGTTCCTGCCCAAGACCTCCAAGGGGAGCACAGGTTTGGCACCCACCACCGCTCTGGTTTTACAGCAGTCCCCGTGTTTACTACAGAACTTAAAAGTGGTTAAGAGACATCAAATGCTGACAGCTCTTCCCAGCAGCTCCCCTGTGCTGGACCTCCATCACAGCCCTTTCCAGGCTCCGTGCACTTGGCACAGGGAGCTCATGCAACAGTAGAGTTCCTCTCACAGAGTTTGTTTCGTGGTCCTTTGTAAATACAGACATTTATCTGGCCTTCGAGACACACAAAAAACAACGATTGCAGTTTATGCCTGTCCTCTGGAAGGGCTCTATGCTCTCAAGGAAGGCATTTCAGGCACAGGAACTGCTTGGCTTGGTTTGAAGCACTCCCCACCCCAACCTGTGGACAGCACTGTCCCAACACAACGCAGCCACAGTGCAGTGATCATGCCTGCTCACTCATGAGTAAGTGCCCTTGATCTGCTGAGCCACCACAGAGAACTTGGCTTTCTTGCAGTAATTCAGAAAGTCGGGGATTGCTGGCTGTATTTAGTTACAGCCTTTGAAAGTTTGAAACATTTTGTTATTTGGTCATAATTTACTGCAGAGAAAAAGTGCTGTGATAGTTTCTGTGGAGTCTGAGGAGCTTTATTTATTTTAAAAAGAGATACTACTAGAGGAAGCACAAGCCACCTTTTAAGCACCACAACATGATACCTCCCAAAATAAAATGGGAACCATGAGCATGAGGAGTTGGGTCAGATGAGCAGCAAAGTCACTAAAAAGTACATTTTGTCCTCTACTGAAACCACCACCGGCTTCTGCAAATAGATTCAAGAACAAAGCAGGGAAAGAGGCACATGCATTCATCCCCAATTTTAATGGGGTGAGCACTGGGACTCCTTGGGAAAGTAATTTCATTTCTTTATCCTAGCAATTATTCAAAATGGAGTCACATTTGTCCAATTTTCTGAAGGTTTGTGAGCTGTGTGAAAAGCTTGGGGCAGAAATGTAAAACATTAGTGTGTAGCCTGCCCCTCTCCCACTCACTGGCTTGGTTGGTTGGTTGATTGATTTTGGTGGTGGTAGCTTTGATTTGATTTGTTTTGTTTTGTTTTGTGTTGTGTTGTTTTGTTCTGTTGGGTTTTTTCACCGTGGTTGCTTATCCCGGTTTTTAACCAGGCTATGAACACGGTCATCAGGTAATAAGTGACAGGTTTCATATTCACCCAGATAAAGGTGACAATGCTTAAAGACATTTTATCATGGCTCATCCATCCCCCAGGATGCCCCTCTGGACACTGACTTCAGTGGAAGCTATGCACACAGCTTCCCACACAGTTCTCTGAATACACACCCCCTCGAGTCCACTTTTTTAATTGGTTTCCTGGACGGTTCTCCTCACAAATAATTTTTTCCTGCAGTTAATGTTAACTAATTTGCTGTGGAAAATGTCTATGATCTAACCTTCTCCATGCCTTTCTTTCCAGATGTGTGAGTGATCCAAAAGAGTGGTTTGCAATGCCTATGCCATGGACCATCCAACAGCTGGATTCTGCTCTCTGACAGGGCAGGTGAGCATCCTCTGCACACTCATGGGCTCACTGCTGTGCTG